GGAACGTTTTTCTTTGCGGAACGCTCTAATCTTGTAGGATTTGAGATGAAAAGTAATTCCTCCTTGCTGCTTCTGGTACTAATAGACATGTATGTACCTGAAAGACAAGAAACAATTTTCATTAAATAACTATAACAATAAATAAAACCTAGACTAAACCTATTAATCAAGTCTAATGGCGAATCCTTTCTCCCAGGGAACGGCGCCTAATTTGATATCACTCAAATGTTTAACCCTAAGGAGTGAATTAGTCTCTCAAATAAGAGGTTCAATCGTAGTACTTAGGGATCGAATCCACAGAGAGCAGGAACACACAATAGACTATAGAAATAAAAGTTAAGCTAGGTAAACAATTTATAAAACAGTAAATAAAATCAGCGTGAACAAAGTAGTTGTTCGATTGGTTGAGTTTGTAAACAATAAAGAGAAATAGCTAGACCTAGGGATTTATCAATCAAGAGATTCAAAACAACAATTCAAGATGCTAACATCTTATAGATTCATTCTAGAACTCGATTTTAATAAGTAAGTAATTCATCTATCAATGTAATTACTAATCAGATGTCTAAGTCATTGTTCCACCTTTCGCATGCGAACAAGAAGTGAATATCGATCGATACTATGGCCTGAGTATCGATCGATATTACCTCAGATAAGCATTAACGACCTAATTGATTATGTTCAACTAGATTCCTAGACCAAATTCTCATATGCGCCTAAGTATCTAATCCAGCAGGATTCGGGTTCCGTTAATTGACTGCACTTTCGTGCATCTCAATTGTCCTATGATTCTAGATTCAAGCAATCAGTCACACTATTGTGGTATCCTAATTACTCCAGATCCTAGTATTACAAATCACCCTGATGTAGAGATCTACAGATATTCTAGCAATCCTAATTGATATTCAGTTTAACATTAAGCTCATGAAATCCCTAAACATAACAAGATGAACTACTAAGATATAATAGAAGAAACACAAATCATAGTCAGAATAATAATAGAATAAGAAAATAAAGATAATTCCAATGGAGTTCCAAGAGGACTCTGAAGGAGTTCCTCTCTTCTCTCCTCACTAAGAACAATCAAAACAAAGATGAAAAGAAAGCGTAGATGGCATAGCCGTCAACAATGGCTTGCAAATAACATAAATAGGGTTTCTGGTCGTCTAAGGGTATTCTGGTAATTTAGGTTTCTTCTGGGCTTCAGTTGGTCATGAAATATACTCGTCCCGCATTCTGGCATCCATATCGATTGATATGAAGTGTCTCTCATCGATCGACATGCACATATCTTCTCGGCAACCTTCTCTCGCGAGGCAGACTGACCACTCTTCAGTAAAATGGGCATAATTTCTGATCTAACCGTTGGATTGACTCAAACTGGTGGCATTGAAAAGCTAACTCAAAGCTCTATCTTGTGTCAAAATATGGGCTCAATCGCACCATGGGAAGATCTCCATCCATATCTAAACATCTGACGCATCTGCGCAGTTTTGCACTCAAAGGCTTCTAAAGACACCAAATTCACCATATTTCTCCAGAACGTACATGAACCTGAAAATACTCTAAATAGACTCTATATTGTAGTAAATAGACATAAAAACATATCAATGCCATGACCAAAAGTGGGTCAAAATCATGGTATATCAGTTTACCTTTCAAAATAAGCAATCAATGGATGCTCGCAATTAAGAAGAATATAAAGGTGTGCACTATGGACGTCTTCATCACTCGACCACCAAACCTCTTTCAATTTCCCACCCAATCGCCCAATTTGACAAAAGATGTCTGGAACATCGTCTTCCATATATGTCGGCACGACACTACCATCATCATATCGTCTTGGAGCTCGTTTCCTTGTATGTGTTTTCGGTGCAAAGTAGTACGATGTGAAATGTGATGTTTTTTCCGTCAAACTTCCCGCAACAATAGAACCTTCAACTCTTACTAGGTTTTTGGCTTTTCCTTTCAAAATTTTCATGTCCCTTTCATACTGATACATCCATCCATAATGCACAAGTTCATGAAGTAATGCCTCATACGGGAGGTGGACAACTAGATGTTCCATGAAGTTGAAAAAAGTAGGCGAAAATATTTTCTCCAAGTTGCAGATTAAGACGGGGATGTTTTCATGAAGTTGTTGGACAACTTTCACTTTAAGAGTGCGGGTGCTCAGATCCCTAAAAAATGCTCCAATTCCTTATATATTACAAAAAAAAAAATTATCCACATTAGTATATATATAAAGAAATAAATTAATCATATCATCGTATTATATTAATTAATTACCTGAAAGTGCTTCATGTACTTTTGCCGGTAGTAGCTCCGCAAACGCAAAGGGAAGTAGTCGATGCATAAAGACATGACAATCATGGCTCTTCATCCCGGAGAACTTTTGCCCTTTCTCAACACATCTTGAGAGATTTGAAACATACCCATCAGGGAACTTCACCTCTGAAGCCACCCAGTTGAACAACGCAGACTTTTTTTCTGATGACAGTCTGAATATTGGAACTGGAACTTGCCCATTGCTTTTTATATGTAGCTCACTCCTTGAGCGGATATCGGGTAAGTCCAACCTTGATTTTATGTTGTCTTTCGTCTTCCCTGGGACATTCAATATAGTGTTCACAATGTTCTCAAAAAAGTTCTTCTCTATATGCATCACATCGAGGTTATGGCGCAAAAGAAGATCTTTCCAATATGACAATTCCCAAAATATACTCTTTTTCTGCCAATTGTGCTGAACACCATAAGAATCAGACATATTACTCGGAACATGCCAATTCCCACCACGAGGAGCTGTTTCTAGAGCACCGTAGTAATCGATTTGCGCTTCGATTTGTTCTCTAGTCAAATATGGAGGAGGAGTGTCTCTGACAACCCTTTTGTGCTTGAACAATTTCTTGTTTCTTCGGTATGGGTGGTAAACGGGAAGAAATCGACAGTGACAATCGAACCAACTAGTCTTCCTACCATGCTTCAACTAAAACGCATCTGTCATTCCATTACATTATGAACAAACTAATCTCCCATGTGTAGTCCACCCAGAAAACATCCCATATGCAGGAAAGTCACTTATGGTCCAGAAAAGCATCGCTCGCATCGTAAAGTTTGTTTTCGTTGAACAATCATATGTCCTCACCCCTGTTGACCACAAATCTTTCAACTATTTTATCAGTGGTTGTAGAAAAACGTTGAGAGATCTTTTTGGATGTTTTGGACTAGGTATTAATATGGTCATGAATAGAAACTCTCGTCGCATGCACATCTCCGGTGGCAGGTTATACGGTGTAAGAAAGACCGGCCACAATGAATATTGTCTCCCAGACATTCCAAATGGACTAAATCCATCAGTGCATAATACAAGACACACATTCCGGCTATTGCTAGCGAAATGTGGATGTACATTGTTAAAATGTTTCTAGGCTCTTGCATCTGATGGATGAGTCATCTCTCCATCCGTCTGAGTATGCTCGACGTGCCATCTCATCCCTCCAGCAGTCTCCTCAGATTGGTACAATCTTTTCAATCTGTCTGTGATTGGTAGGTACCACATCCTTTGGTACGGTACCCTATTACGCCCTCGACTTTGCGGTTTGAATCGTGGCTTCTTACAAAATCGACATTCTTCTAACTTCTCATCATCTCCCCAGTCAATCATGCAGTTATCGATGCAAACGTCTATCATCTCCGAGGGCAACCCAAAACTATATACCAATTTCTGAATTTGATAATAAGATTCAGCAGACACATTGTCTTCTGGCAAATACTCTTTAAACAAGTCTGTCCATGCATCCATACAATTTTCAGGTATATTGTGATCGGTTTTAATACTCATCATTCTAGCAGCCAACGACAATTTAGACAGACCTTCTCTACAACCACTATAAATTGGCTCATTCACAGCTTCTAACATTTCATAAAACTTTTTTGCATCTAAGTTAGGTTCTTCAACTTCATCATCATCATGAGTTACAAATGCATCACCTACCATATCATGAACCCTATCACAATCTACCATTTGTTCCTCTTAGTGATGATAGTTATTTTCATTACACAAATGATCAACCGGTTCAACCTGAAAATTGCTATTACTACTGCTACCTTCATTCCTACAACTAGCATCGTCTTCTCCATGTTGATACCAAATATAATAATATGGCATGAAACCTCTATTTATTAAATGCTTCCAAACATTTTCACGAGGGCCTAATTTTGTATTGCAGCATTTCCGACAAGGACAAAACATCTTACCACTTTCCTGCGTGAGTGGTGTAGAATTTGCTTGATGCATAAACGTCTCCAATCTTTCGAGAAATTCTTTCGTCACCCTCCCGTTATTATCTCTGTGTGAATACATCCACTTCCGCAACTCGAAAATATTTCCCGGACCGGACATTTTTTTGTGTTTGATCAAGCTTATAGATGATTTTTTTTGGGTGTGTTTCAAATGAATCACAAATGGTGGTATTTATAGAAATTTTCGAATCTCAGCATTTACTAGAAAATTGCTAGGAAATTTAGGTACAAAACACGTTTTTGATTTAAATTCAATATTTTTTATCCAGCTCCTCTTAATTTCGTAGTAACAAATTCATTCCTCTTAATTTCGTAGTAAGGTTTTACTAGGATTTTACGAGGAAAGTTTGTTACTACGAGTTTACAAGGAAATGGACTTTTGCCACGTAGTTTTCTCGTAAGCTTACTACAGAGATGGAGTTTATTCCTATAAATTGAAACGTTTATATGGAAATGGAGTTCAAATCACAAACATTAACCACGTGCAATAAACGTTTCATATTAGACAAAACATTTATAGGCCACAAGATAAACTTTGTCTTTGAGTGTCTGGTGTCCCAAATTATTAAGGCCAGCTCATCTTGCACATATTCAGACAGATGCATGAGTGGACTAAATTATTAATAAGTCCATATTTTATGATCTTCGCAAATATTTAATCAGTCAATTAAACACTTGAAACTTTTATATAGAAAATCGGAACAACATGGGTCCAACATCTTGTTATCAAAAGTAGAAAGTATTAGGTACATCGATAAAGCATAAATTTCTTAGTTCTTACAACACATGACTCAAAGACTATAAGCATTGCAAATACAGATAAGAAGCCTCACTGTAATCTTTAGTACTTAAACTTGTGATGGCTTAGTCTCAGCTTCTGCGAGTTTTGGTTCATCATCAGGCTTTGCGTCAACCTTAGCCTCATTCTTAGTCTCCGCCTCGGTTTTAGTCTCGGTGACGGCCTCAGCCTTAGACTCGGCCTCAGCCTTAGGCTCGGCCTCAGATTTAGGCTCAGCCTCAGCCTCCACAGGCCAGTAAGAAGTCTTCTTTCCAGTTTTTGAAACTGTTTGAAAAACTGCTTCAGGCTCGACATTACCTTTCACTGTTACCTTTTGCTCCTTTATATCAATGTCAAATGACTCAACCCCTGAGAGATTATTTTATGAATCTCTTAGTCAGCAAAGTATACAAGGCAGGGTAATAAAATGATTAGTAAATTAAAGTATCTAAAAGGTTTTAAAATAGAGGATTGATGAACACCTTCCATTTTTCCCAAGACTCTATTAACGGCACCAACGCAGCCTTGGCATGACATACCAACTTTGAGGACCACAGTCTGAAAAAGTTAGAACATATAACAATTGTTAGTATTGAAGAATGGCTAGCTTGAAGATCATTTGCTCTCCAAAACATTAATTCATTTTATATAGCCAACTAGCCAAGAAAAAGTACCAGACGTGAACCCAAAAGGGAGAAAAAGAAAGAGATAATAAACAGAGAGATCAAAGTCACAAATTACCTGAGACATGGCTACAATTAGATGAAACGAAAGCCTTCGAGATAGACGATCCGAATTTGATAATGAGATCTTTGTAGTTTGATGAATGAGAAGAAAATGGTGTGTGTCTTGATTATATATAGCAACGCAAAAAGCAAAGGTTCCTCGGAGGAGTTAGCGTAAAGGAAACGAGCACATTATTAGAATAAGTGCACTTACCATATTCCAAAAGTTTTAGGAAGGTTAGTTATACCGAATGTGAAAAAGCATGCCAACTACAAATTCCACTAACCAAAAGTACAAGGGAATGAAGGATTTGAGTTCTTCTCGTAGTACACTTATTTTGTTGTAGTACCAAGTATTTATATTACTCCATCCCTTCAAAAAAAAAATCAAATGATATAGAAAAAAATTGTTTAATTTTTTTTCTTACATTTTTAATATATTAATTAATGGTAAATTGTAAACTTCCAAATACATAATTATAGTTATTAAAATTCTATTGATTAGAAAAAAATATAATGCATCAAAATTTTATACTTTTTTAAATATGTATAAAAATTCTAAAATATACATATTCTTGAAACATATGGAGTATTATTATTAAATTTGTATATGGGATCACTCAATAGATTATATTTGAGATTTGACTCTGAAATTATAAAAACTATTTTAAACTATTTTTTATTCATTAAATTTCTAAAATTGCATGCACATTGAATTTAATATAATAAGAAATGAGTAAACCTATGTAAATGGAACTGCTATATGTTTATACTATAAATTTCTACATGGTTTTGTATATATTAGAATTTAGAACCATATAGCAGTTTACATTTTACGTTGGTTTACTCACATTTGAAAAAAATATATATTCTAATATTTATACATGTTGGTTTTGAACAATATCTATGGATGCAACAAAATAAAATTCTTAGTGAAAGTAAAACTGTATAGTGTTGTGTAGTAATTCATTGTGTTATCCTGCCAACATATAAATAATCATTTTAATCATAAACTAGATTTTGACCCGCGCTTCAAAAGCGCGGGTTTTTTTTTGTTATAAAATAAACTTTAATACTCTTGTTTTGAATTATTAGCATTATATTAAAAATTTGTATATCAGTGCATAAAACTTTTCTATTTAAAATTATATATCGATGTACATAAAAGTTGTCTATTTTAAATTATATACTTTATCATTTAGTTTATTTGAAATTTTGTATGTATGTTTTATGTTATAATGTTTTGCATCTTTTACGGATATATATTTAGGTTTTCGATATTTTTTTGTGTTTCAAGTTTTTTGGGTACTTCAAAATCTTAAGGTCTTAAATACCTGAACTAATTTTGACCCGTTATATATCTAATTATTTAACAGGTATTTGAATTATGGATCCATACCCATCCAAACTTGAAATGGATTAATTTGAATCCAAACCAAATAGTTTTAAATACCTAATTAGATCCAAATGCGTGGGATTTGAAGATCCGATAAGTATACCTAACCCAAGACCCGGTCAGTTTATCTTTATCCTAATTAATGTCTTTAATAAGATATTCATTTTTGGAGTGTTAATCAATATAAATTAAATGAAATATCATATAATACAGAATAATATTTGAAGTGTATTAGAATATAATATGTAAATGGACCAATAAATATTAAAAATAAGATTTATAAATATTCAGATTGGCTGCGATACACAAATTCGTTAATACACTAAATTTATTTCAAAATATATACTTTAGAAAATCAACTTTTAATATATACTTTGGAAAACAAAAGAACAATTAGGATTAGTTTGTTTTAGTATCTTGGTTGTTAGAAATTGAGAATGTGAAAAGAATATACAATAACAATTTTATTTAGTTGTTAGGGAATATTTGTTTGGTTGCTGTAATAAGAGTTAGTTATAATATTTGATATATGAAATAGGTTGGACTAAATAATGAATAGGTGTAACACCTTTTTAAGTAAAATTTTGAGGATGATTCTTTTTTAATAATATAGACAGATGATCAAATTTAAAATTATTATATTTTGTGTTAAATAAAAAATACGATTATTTTTTTTCATGGTTGATTTAATTTGTAAACAATATCTCACTTTTTGATGCGTATATGATGTTTTTTGCATATATAAGGAAAGTGTATATTTTAGAATTTTCTCATGTATAGGAATCTTTCTTATTTTGAAATTATTATGCCTAATATACTTAAATTTCTACTGTTTATATGTTAGAATAATTGATTAAAAATATAAATATTGATTAGAAATGATTTGGAGTAGTAGATATGAGACAAACATATTGAAAAAAATACTCTTAAGATTAGTATTTGATGTATTAGGCAGATTTGATTTCCTTGTATATTGATTTAATATAGTAAATAAGCTTCAATATGTTCATTTCTATATCTAGATCTATTTATTTTGTTGTATCGAAAATTTCAGATTGTATGACGATTTAAAATATTAATTTAAACCTCTTCAAATGACTTTAGTTATTTAGAGCTCGTTTACAAATTTTTCAAAACGTATATTTTTCTATCTATGGTTAACTTGTGTATAAAAAATTTGAAGATGATATAGTTAAAGATAATATGAGTAGGCCCTATATTATAATATTGCAATCCCAATAACAATCTAAGAATATAATACGAAACCTCTTACATTGTTCCTAATGTCTGATAAGATTTATTTTTAATAGTGTTGATATTGGTAACGATAGTTAATGGTAGATATTATAAGTTGTAGATACTCTACACTCAAATACGTTTGGTTTGTTAAGTATTAAATTAGATAAGATAAATGGGTCCAGAATAAATGTGAATTAAAGAGGAGATTACAATATATTTGACAGAGGATATTATTTGGTTACTACTATATAATAGGGATTTGTTATAATATTTGATTGTATATAATTGGTTGGGCTAAAAATGAATAGGTGCAATAACATTGTTTAAGTAGATTTTTTTACACTCATTCTCTTTTAATAGTATAGATGATAAAATCAATAGAATTTGAAGATAAGAGAAATCTAATTATTTCCTAATGTTGAATGTAACTTAAAAAAACCTGTTGACCAAAAAAGAAAAACCTAATAATTTACTTTTTTCCTTTTATGGAATAAATAAATCATGTTATGAATATAATACACACTATAGGGCCACTAATAATTTACCAAAATGGGCCCTTAAACCCACTAAACATAGTTAATCCTCCAGCTGTCAGAGACTTCTTCAGAACTCTTCTCCTTTTCCAGTTTCCACCCTCCACCTTCCCGCCCCTAGCCACTGTCATCTTCTCCCCACTCGCCGGAGAAGCATGGAACCTCACCGTTCCATCACAGGAAGACCACAGAGAAAACCCCTCGGAGATTGCACAAACACCATCTCCAGAAGAACTCCCCAACTTCCATCTTCTTCTTCTTTTTCCTCCCTCAAATTCGCGAATCCGAGTCTCACTTCTTCTCTCAAGAGATTAGTTGATCAAACCTCCCTCAAGGAGAAAACCAAAGATGTCAATAACTCCTCCAAGGTTGTTGCCGTTACCGGAAACGCTTCCAAGTCCGTTAGGCCCGTGACTCGCCGTGCTTCCGCCGATCTGGGTTCACCGGCGGAACCTACGCCGTCTCCTCTTTCGAAACCAGATGATGTCAGTAAACCAGAATCTAGTGCCGGAACTGCTTCCCGGTTAAGACCCGTAACTCGCCGTATGTCCGCCGATCTAGGTTTTCCGGCCTCCGCGCCGCCTCGGACTCGCTGCGACGAGGGTAATTGATCTCACCTACATTGGGTTTGCTTCAATTTGGTTCTAGTAAATCGATTTCGGTTGAATTGAAATTTGTGCGCGATTCTAGGGTTTTTTTGTTTGAAGGAATTAAAAGGAAGATTATTTAGCTTCATGGTTGCTTTGTCATGTTTCCTGCTATATTGGAAGAGTCAAGCTGGTGTTCAATTTTAATCTGTTTATTCTGTGTCTATCATAGGCTACTGATGTTTTAAGAACTGTGTTATGCTTTAGGTGTTGGTGACAAGGAGGAGGTTACTAAGCCTTACTCCTCGGTTTACACGGTTAGAAGGAAAGCTTCTGGGAGAAAAAGAAGTAAAGACGTGTCTTCCTCTAGTGCACTGCCTCGCCTTCGTCTTGACTTGTTATCAAGCCCTGGGTATGAATACTCATTCAATGATTGTATATAAGTAATGGTAGCTATGGACATGTGGCAACAGGGTAGAATAGAGTCTATTCCCGCGTCTTTGTAAAGAATCTTATCAGTAAGCTATTAGTGTTGAACCTATTATGCCCATCTAACTTGTTTAGCATTTTGTGTCCTGTGTAAGCTTCAAACATGGCGTTGTTTTAGTAATTATTTTTGAAATTTTTATCACAGGAAGAGGAAACTTCAAGCAGATGAAAATACAACCAAGTCCTCAAAAGCGGCTCCCAAAAAGGTGAATTCAGGAACGCTCTAGCTATTTATATATACTGTACTTATTAGAACTGTAATAGTTCTTTGTTGCTTTGATCTTTCTGTTGGTCTATCGGGTTTTTGGGCTCTAGCAAATTGTATATCAGTGCATCGTATGTTTCAACATTGATCGGTCTCCACTCTCTCTGTTCGAAGATAGATGTCTAGTCTTTCAGATTCATGTAAATTCGTGTCTTTTTCAAAGAGGTGGATTTCGATTATTCTCAGGAGATTACTCTGGTCTTACTGTTTTAATGAGATGTGCAACTTGTATCTCCTCTTATCCATTTGTAGAGCCTTATACTCGCTGGTTGCTTAAAAGTGTTCCCATATCTAATTATGTGTAATATATACCAATGGTTTTATTACAGAGGCAGCGAACAGTAAAGAAGCAAAAAGAAGATAATGATGCGTCTCATGGAATTCCTCAGGATTATATTGAGCAGCAGAAAGCCTACTTTGCAGAGGTCGATGCATTTGAGCTGGAAGAAGAAGAGGTATCAAGTAGCGACTTAGATTAAGTAACAAGTGATGAGATGACTATCTTAAGGATATCAATGATAACACCATAACCCGTTTTGTTCGTATCACTGTATAGCTAAGGCTTCTTCTCGCACACTGACCCCTTAGAACACTTGACATGCCAACCTTTGTGTATACAAAAGATCTATCAGTTTATGAAATGATAAAAAGACAGTTCACAGCACAAGCTTTATATCACGACTCAGAGACGAACTATATAGATATACATACATCTTACAAAGCATCATAGCATCTTTATGTTCAATGAGGCAAAGCAGCTCATAGAATGAATCAAGAACATAATAAATTAACGTAATTAAACTTTGTTTGTGTCGCCGATGGTGAGAGCTTTACCACAAGGAACAGAGAAGAAAGTTCTCTTTATACTCCTCATTGAAGAAGTTAAACCTTTTCTTCCACCATTGGAGTAACACAGAGTCGAGGTCGATGAAGATCTAAGCTCTGCTATTTGTAACTATCGAACAGGAGCGGTGATTTCTTACCACGTCTTACTGGTTTTCTCAAAGAATGTGGCGGTGAAGAGGAAAACGAAGATGAAGAAGCCATAGACGACCAAGAATAATAAGATGACCCAGTGACATAGTTGGGCTTCTTGTTCCTGCTATTGTTGCTTTTCCTGAGGTCATGGAACAGAGACATCGACAGGATTCTAGTAAGTTTTGTTCTCACCTTGTTCTGTCTCTTCGGCGTCGACAAGATCCCAGAGGAGGAGTAATACGACAGAGGCGGCGTGAGCGGCGGAGGAAGAGAGAACTCGGAAAAGTGATTGTGTTTGGGTGTGCCTGGCCTTGACTCCCATAAGAATGGTACAGAGGCTCCACCATAGTAAAAGGATCTCTCTTCTTGCTCCTCATGGACTGTAGAGTACTCCACGTCAACTCTTAATCTTCCTGACATTACTCTCTTACGTGTTTGTGTCGGAAACTAGAAGTGCCAGATTCGAAGGTTGTCGAGGGGTGGTTAGATCTCACACGAACACAATATTAAAGAGAGGGTTCTACTTGTAGAAGAGTCTTCTTTGCATGGTTGTAAGTGTTGATATTTATCCTTTTTTTTGATGCCATTTAATTATTTTGGATTTTTTTTTCATAGGAAATTATTCGTATGGATGAGCATGTTACATGTATAAGAAAGATATTTCCTCATAATACATAGGCCGAGAAATGGTTGATAATAAATGAAAGGTGGCTATCTTACTGTTGGATGTGTATGCATTAGTTATCTGAGTGACATGGGGATCAGACCATTGCTTAGTGTTACTACTTGTGTTAAATATGTTATCTTATAATCCCTCTGTTTTTAAAAAAAATCTAAAACGTTTAACTTCTTTTTTTTTTGTTCTTTTTCAAAAAAAAAAAAACGTTTTAGATTTTTCACACATATTAAAAAAAACATAAAATTTTGATTACCAATGCATCATTTATTATAGATAATAAATCTTTATATTTTTTAACCACTATAATTTTAAATCTACAACTTTTCATTAAATTACACATTGAAAATGTAAAAGATGTACACCTTTTTGAAATAAATATTATTTATAGGATGTGCATCTTTTTTTAAACGGAGGGAGTACTATAAAAAGAGTTAATACTCTCTATAATTCAATACCTTTATTAGACAATAAATTAAACAAGAGTAAAGTGTGTAATGCATGTTAATTTGAAATGTATTACCATATCGCTGAAAGCATCTCACAGTAAATTTGAGGGACTAAACCCATCTCATAGTTGCACTATCCAGTCCTTTGAACACCCCAACTAACAACTTACAGCTTTTACGTTACTTTATAGTGTGTGACACTATCAATATAAATAACTAGGTAATTGAAATATTTATTAAGTAAATATACTATAATAATTGATTACTATTTACTTTTAATTTTCAATTAATTTATACTTTACATACATGATTTATATTAATAATATTATTTTACTTTAATTAGACATATTATTTTAGAAATATTATATCTAGTCAATTTTATTATTTTATAGTCGATTTTACTGTTATTATTTGGGTATATTAGATTACATTCTTTTATCTGAATTCAACTATAATATTTTTTATTCTAAATATATTAAATTTTGATTAATTCTATTATTTACTTTTAGGTTGTTTGCTGTCTCAGATGTCAATTTTAGAAAAGTTATTTATATAAATTTCACAAAATAAATCAAATTAAAGTAATATTATTTATCATTTAAATGTGCACGGATTTTTTGTTAAACTCGGAAAGCATCTTTTCGACGGTCTCGGCGTTAGCGTTTGTAGCGTTGGCCGCAGGCGCGTCTTTTGGTAGTGGTGTTTCAACGTTATCGCGTTCGTCGCGAGTTTGGTTGTCACCAGCCATCGTTTCTTCGTTGGTCATGTTGCGGCTACGGTGTAAGATAGATCCGACCCCCCCTCCTTCTAGCGCCAAACTGTGGGAGTCGATTTCACCCTACTGTCAAATAAATCGTAAAAAAGGAAACTTCGGGAAAACCCTAAGTTTCCAGAGGAACCGGCTATCTGCGAGAACCGCACAACGAAAATAAGATGACGAAAAT